GGGAAGGGCGTGCGGGAGGGGGGTGATGCTGAGCTGGAGCAGGGGGCCTGGCGCAGAGGGGTCGGCGACGAGAGGCGCGATCGTTCAGTTGATCGTTCACTCGCGCGTGCAAGAGTACGCAGCTGCTGCGGAGTGGCGCGGGCTGTGGCACAGGCGACGACGATTGCATGTGGCAGATCTGCGCAAGTTGATCCTCGCGAAACTGCTGCATCCAGCGCGCAAGCTATTGCATCCAGGTGCCAACTGTTGCAAGCCATCTTGCACCCTTACCCGCGGACCCATCTGCGCTAGACCCACCAGTCGGGCTTCAAAACAGACGCCCCGTCCCACCTGTCCACCATCGGGGAAACGTAAGACTTGAGTACGCCGGAACTTGGGTTTGCCAACGCTTTTTGACGAGCGCGTCCTGGATTTTGACGGCCCAGCTTTCGTGGGATGTTTGCGGGGGGAGCGCACACTGGGCCTCGTCGTTACCATGATGGCCCCGCCAGGCCAATCCGAGCCCCCCGAACCCGAGTCTTACGCCTCCACGACACCGGGGGCCCCCCGCCTGGCAGACTGCCCGGGCTCCTCCGCCGGCCGGCGAGGCAAGCCCTGGTCTTGGCGGCCCTGTCGCGCTCCGCCCTCCGCCGGCACCTGCCACCGGAGGCGGCCCGGCTGAGCCGCGCCGTGCGGCAGGCCCTGCTCGGCGCGAGGCTGGGCGGGGGGAGCGCGGGCCTGCAGGCGGCGGACTTGGCGAGGGTCGCTGGGCGTCGCGTCATGGGGGGGGGCAGCGAGGGCTGCAGGGCCCAGAAGGAGGCATCTGGGGCCCGAGAAGTGCGCATGTCTTCCCCCTCCACGTATCGCCCCCCCCCCTCGAGCGGCGCCCAAGGTCGGCGCGACGCTCCGCTCGGAGGTGGCGGACATCCTCGCCCTGGCGGGCAGCGCAGAGGCCGAGCGGCTGGCCGTGCAGCACCTGGCGGCCGACGTGGCCCGCTGGCTGCAGGCGCGGGGCGTCGGCCTGGAGGACGCGCTGCAGGCGCTGCGGCTGCAGCTCCGGCTCGAGCCCGCCTCGGGCGATCCAGGCTTCCCAGACGGGGTCCGAGCAGGCGGGGTCGGAGAGTCGCGCCGCATCGGCGATGCATCGGCGGTGCGGTTCGATGTGGAGCCCGATGTTCTCCGCGCCGACGGCGCCGATACATTGCCGACGTCGCCGATACATCGGCGGTGCATCGCCGATGTATCGGCGGTGCGGCGCGATCCTTCGACATCACCTACTCCGACCCCATTCGGGAGGCCTCTAGGCGAGCCGCCCCTCCCAGGCCCGCTCGCCGAGGGCGACCTTTTCGAACTCTGGCAGGGCCTGGTGGTGCCCCGGCTCGGCCGCGGCCTCGAGGAGAGCCTCAGGCTGGAGGGGGGGGGGGCGGCGCCAGCCGTGCGCACCGACGCCGATCCCGGCCATCGGCACCCCTTCTGCTCAGCACAAGGGTTGGGGCACAGACACGCGTGGCCCGGCCAGGGAGGACCGTGAACCGTTCCAGAGGCTGCAGCCCGGGCATGGCCAGATTTTGGGCGTCTGTGTGCACGGCCGGCGCTCCTCTGCGAGGGAGATCAGCGGAAAGCTGGGCTACATGGAGCCCTGCGACCTCGAGCGGGTGCTGCTGGCCGTGGGCAAGCTCCTGCTGCACGGCCAGGCGGCTCTCGACCTCCTGCTCCGTGCCCGCTGCGCGGCGGCTGGCCCTGCCGCTGCGGCCGGCGAGGCTGCCGCCAGCGGAGCTGCGGCAGCCGTGCGCAGCAGCAGGTTCGGCGCCGAGCAGGAGCGCGAAGTCTGCTGGTACGACCCCACGATGACGACCGCCTCCTTCCACCTGGAGGACGTGGAGCGCAGGCGCCCCCTCGAGAGGGGGCCCCCCCTCCCCGCCACGGACTGCGCCACGGCGCCTCGCGCCCGGAGCACTGGAGGCCGCGGCGGCCTCACGACCCCCTCCAAGCGCGCGGCGTCTGGGGCCGGTGAGGCCGCGTATTACGCGCGCGACCGGGGCGAGACCCCGAGCAGGTGGCACTGGCCGCTGCAGGACGCCGAGCTGCCGGGGCGAGGAGGAGGCGCGCGCCCACTGAGGACGGCGGGGCGGGGAGGTCTGCACGGCGAAGCGCTCCTGCCGCGGCGTCCGCCCCCCCAAACTCAGAGGAGGAAGAGGTGCTGATACCGCTACCCTTGCATCGTTTTCCCCTTGGTGGGCCTGCTGGGAGGCCCTCGTCGCCACGGCCGGATTCGCCTCGAAATTCTTGCCAGAACGCACCCCGGGAGAGGTCCTGGTATCAGCGGTACGGGTACCTTTGCTGGTTTCCCCTGCCATTCCTCCCTGGCGGGCGGGAGGAGCGCTCCGCCGTGCACACCGCACAGCCCCGCAGGAGAGGCCAGGTCCTCCCGAAGCACAGCGGGGCCAGCGTCCTGCGGTACAGCGCGGCTCGGCCGAGGCCGGCGGGGACTCCCCCGAGCGTCCCCTCGAGCCTGGAGGCCGAGGGCGCGCTCTTCGTCGGCAGCGGCGCCGCCACGTGCCGCCGCGCGCTGGGCGACCAGGTGCCGAGCGCGCTGCGCCAGGACCTGGCCTGGAGGTGTGCCTGGCTCGGAGGCGTCCTGCGGGTGGAGAGGCACCTGACCGCCGTGAGGGAGGCCATCGGAGACGTGGACCAGACGGGTGGCGCGTTTACGGTGAGCAGCGCGGTTGCAGAGGCCAATGTTGTTCCAACCTACTCTAGCCTCGACCAGCAGAAAGAATTTCGAGCACCAAGAGAGTACCAGCACCGGATGGTTTCCACGTGTCGGGCCCTGGGCGGTGATATTCCTTCGGCATTGTTTCGATACTTGTCTCTGGGTGCTTGAAATTGTTTCCGAGATGTGGTCCTTAAGTACGATGGGAGCAACATAAGTAGAGGCAGATGTTTCGATGGGAGAGCGGAAGTCTGGTATCGACACTCTGTTGAACAAGGGCATGTCCCCCGAGTGGGCCATCTTGACAGACATGCCGGTGATGCCGCCAGACCTGCGCACGATGGGTGGGAAGGACTTCGAATCTACCTCGATTGGTGATCTGACCTGCCCTCAGCGTCCACCGATACCGTTCGAACTCCAGTTGCGCGATCGCGTGATCGGCTGGCTAATCGTTGTAATCGGCAGTGTTGCTGGGCTCGTTCGGAGGGGGTTCTTGACGCACCACCCGTAGAACTGGCCATCACAAATCCTCGTCAGCGATTCATTGATGTTCGTCGATAAGTTGAGTCGGTGTTCTACGGACGAAACGTTTCTCTGCGACTTGCGCGGTCCGTGCTTGTGATCGAAAATGTAGCCTGGCCAAGCCCGCAGGAGCCATTCTTACGTTGACGTCATCCAGTCGAGTGACACTTTGCGCAGGAACCTCGAGTTCCGCAGGTCCGATGCGGTGCTGCGGCAGAGCAAGCTGGACCTCCAGGAAAAAGTGGGGTCGGGAGAGAGATCAAAAAGAGAAAAGAGTGAGGCCCCTGGACCGCTTCCCCTGGGGGCACCCCTCCAGAAGCGACAGTCGTTGCCCTTGGCCTGCACACGGTGCCTGCATTTTTTTTTGTTCTTTTGACCGCCGTCCCAGAATGCAATCTCGGCTCGCGAAGGTGGACATCGTGCTCGACAACGGGCGCATCGGCTCAGGCAAAATGAAAGGTCAAAAAGGAGAATTGATGGATTCTATCGCGGGCCGGTTGAAGGGCAAGCAGGGCCGCATGCGGTTAAATTTGTTGGGCAAGCGGGTCGATTATTCCGCGCGCACCGTCATCGTCGTCGACCCAGCACTAACTTTGGATGAGTGCGCAATGCCTTATCAGATCGCGCGGCAGCTCTTCCAAGGATTCTTAGTTGCCGAGCTGCTTAAAACCCCAGAGATCACCGAAGAATTTGGCTCCATAGACGAGATGACGGAATTGCGGCCCAGAGAAAGATTGCTACGCGAGAGCGCGATCTTGGACAAGTTTGATCAAATGGTCGAGGAGGAGCGGTGGCGTTTTATGACAGCCGCCATGGGGAACAGACGCGTCATGCTGAACCGCGCGCCCACCTTGCACAGGCTCGGTATACAAGCGTTCAAGCCTAGACTCATCGATGGCCAGGCAAGGGGTGGGTTCGGGGTGAAAGGAGAAGAAGGGGGGGAGGAGGAGGAGGAGGAGGAGGAGGAGGAGGAGGAGGAGGAGGACGAGGACGAGGAGGAGGATGAGGAGAAGGGCCTTGACATTCGCTTCACGAGGAGTTCTAGGAAAGCGAGAAACAAATAAGCCAGCAAGCGTCGTTGAGATTCAGTACGAAGCGTTGCCGTTGCCCACTGGGCTCAACCAGACCATACTCCATGCTCCAGAGGAGAACGGGATGAGAAGGGGGAGGAGGAGAAGGGGACGAGGAGGAGGAGGACGACGACGACGACCTCGAGGCGAGAGGAAGGAGGGAGGAAGGTGGCTCCTGACCAGAAGAAGCATTACATCTCTGCCTTAGTGAAGCGATGAATCTCGACATGGCCTAGGACCTTCAGTACATGCAGCGTTAAGGTATCGCAGCCAGCTGATGTTGCTAGCATGATGGCGCCTCGCCGATGCTGCAATCTGCAAGACCGATGAAACGTTCCCCCCGCTCCGTTGGCAGGGTTGTCTGTTGATCCCCCCCTCCATCGGCAGACCCATCCCATGTGCCAGACCCTACAGTGGGGGCCCGACCACAAGAAACCTTCCACAAGAAGCCCAACCCTGAGACCCAGCGAAACCATCGAAACCCAAGAAACCCATGACACCCTGAAGGCGAGCATGGTGTTTCTTTGCATTGGCCCCCACTGTAGTGCCCGCGAGGCGCAGCGAATCCCGTGGCAGGACAAGCCAGGAGAGGTCGTGGTTTGGGAAGGTTGCCCTGGGGGGGGGGGCAATCGCTGGCTCTCGAGCTGTTGAGGGCAAGCGCTGCACATAGGTTTGGCAAGATGCAAGGCAGGCGGCTCCTCCTCCTCCTCCTCCTCCTCTCCTCCTCCTCCTCCTCCTCCTCCTCCTCCTCCTCCTCCTCCTCCTCCTCCTCCTCCTCCTCCTCCTCCTCCTCCTCCTCCTCCTCCTCCCCCTACCATGATGACTACGACGACTGACATGTTTTCTGGGAGTGACTCTTGGCGGCCTCTTGGGGGCCTCCTGGAGACATGGGGGGAGCTGTTGGAGGCCTCTTGGAGGACCTGGAGGCGGTCTCGGGGACCATCGGGGTGGGAGCCCCAAAGGCCCCGTCGAGTTCCCCCTCTTGGGGCCCTCTTGGGAGCCGTTTGGACACCTTGTGGGCTTTGGAGGCCGTATTGAAACGATCTTAGGGGCCTCTTGGATTTGGATTGCATTAACTCCGAAGAGGCGGGTATGCGATAAATTCTAGACGCTTCGCGTAACCCCACCATGTCAACGTCGTCTGTGTGGGTTATGCCTCACGGCATGCACCGAATTTCTCGGCATTTTGTCAGACTGCACGTGCCTGAGCTTCCCTGGATGCCCCCAGCTGTCAGCCTCCCGCACAGCCCCGCTGCTGCTTGGTGAGTGGGCCGGCCGGCTTGCGGCGCGTCTTGTTGCTAATTAGCCTTGTTCGCAGCCCCGGACAATTGCTTTCGCCGCCTGCGCTCTTCGCTAGCGGCCGCGACCAAAAAAAGTAACCCCACCAGCCCATCCAGAAACGATGCCCAGAGGAATTGCCTCGATCAGGGAAGTGGGTAGCACACAGAGGAAGGGTCCCCCAGTGGAGGCCTCTTGGAGCGTCTTGGGTGCCTCGGAGAGCGTCTCTTGGGAGCATCTTGGAGGCCTCTTGGGCGTCTGTTGGGGCCTCCTGGGCGCCTCTTAGGGCCCTTGGGAGCACTCTGAGAGCCTTGGGAGCGCTCTTGGGAGCGCTCTTGGGGCCATCTTGGAGGACATCGATCAAACAAGCAGCGAGCATTAGTTAGCGTTGCCCCTCGGGAGCCCAAAAAATCGCCTCTTGGGGCGCTCTTGGAGCGCTCTTAGGCGCTCTTGGGGCCGTCTTGGGGCTCTCTTGAGCCTCTCTTGGAGCCCTCTTGGGCCATCTTGGAGCCATCTTAAGGCCTCGGATGGCCATCGGAAGCGACAAGACGAGAAAGCCAAACACATAGATGTTCCGAAGGTTTTGGCCTCTTCGGGGCCTCCTGGGGGAGCTCTTTGGCCACTTGGAGCCGTCTTGGAGCGGTCTTGGGGTATCTTGGAGCATCGTGGGAGCCATTATGAGACATCTTGGGATATCTTGAGCCATCTTGGAGGTCATCTTGGGCTCTCCCAGGCGCTCTTGGAGTCATCTTAGTCAGTGCCCCCCCCCCCAAGAGGCCAACATGTGGCCAAAACCTTAGTCAAATCAATGATTTGGCATTCTCACCGGGACCTCTTGGAGCATCTTGGGTGCCTCTGGGGGGTCTCTTGGGGCCTCCTGGAGGTCTCTTGGGAGCCTCTAGGGGGCATCCTGGGGGCCTCTTGGGGCTTCCTGGCCACCTGTTGGGGCCCTCTTGGGGCACCCTTGGGAGCCTTGGGGGCCACCTTCGGCTCGTCTTGGGTGAGATCGATCACAGGAGGGGGGTCCCTAATTAGGGTCCCCCCCTCAGGAGGCCAAAATGGAGCCAAAACCTGAGTAAAACCAGTGATTGTGGCTTCCTCGCCGAGGCCGTTTTGGACGCCCTGACACCTCGCGAACCCCCCCGTCCAGGTCCAGGGGAGGGGTAGGGGGAGGGGTAAACCCCTCCCCGAAGGGGAAGAAGGAGGTTGGAAGAGGAAACTCCCTAAACCACCTACGCCCAGAGGGCTGGTGGGATTCTGCACAGAGACCCTAAACAGCGTCGCTGCGGACGGCAAACGTACACAATCGTACACACGCCCGCACCTCGTGTATCCGGTTGTGACGTGCGCAGTGTGTATGTCTGTCTGTGTTTATGTGTTGCGTAGGGATCGGTACGCCTATGTAAGCGAGGTTCTCAAACATTGGTCGAAACCGGTGGCTCGACCTGCAATGTTGGCAGGAGCACAGTGTTGCCCTTGTTCCACTAGCCGTCACTGCACCTCGGGATCATGATTTCGCTGATAAAGAATTGGAGATGATCGCCCTGGAACCTTTGGGTGCAATCTGTTGCGCCCACTGGTTGAGCCATACGTTGCGTCCGAGGGTCGCGCCATTCTTTGCGTATGCTCGCCCAGTAGTTCTCGGGATTGCGCAGTCTGGCCCAAGAATCTGTTAATGCCAAGGTTGCGTGCATGGCTTGCGCCATAGTTTCGTCCAGAGTTTGCACACAGCGGTAGAGCATACTGGCCCAAGGTTTGGGATGCCGTAAGTTGTGGCTTGCATGGTCGCTTTGACTTACATTGATTTGTAATGGTTTGCGTCGCGTTACTTTGTGTTGCCTTTGATTGCTTGGCATTGCTCGCAATGCTTTGCATTGTGTTGCAATGCGTCGCACGTGTTGGATCAATTCACTGATTGGGGTCACGTTTCAATCATCGTCGTGCTCCCTGTTTTTCTGCGGCACCTCATTGTGAAGGAGCTGTGGCAGTACCGTGATGATGCTGGTGCGATCTAAGTTTAGCTCCCCTGCACGATCAGTTACGGACCTGTCATCCTGTACAGTTGCCGAGGCATTGGCTGGTGAAAGTTCGCTGCAAGCCTTCTGCTCCGCCGCCGCCAGAACCTCAACCGCCAGTGCGGATTGTGCGTCCCTCTGGGGGTGGGCGATAAGTTGGAGGGCGGCGAGGGCTGCAGAAAAGGGGCCCTCTAGGGCCCCTGAAGAGGCCCTTTGGGGTCCAAAAGGGGGACCTCTAGGGCTCGAGAAGTGCACCTTTCTTTCCCCCTTCGTGTATCGCCCCCCATCGAGCGACGCCCAAGCGGACGTCGGGCACTAGCACCTCCGCTTCGGCGCTCATGGCCTGCCGACCGCTTCTACCGCCCTCTGGTTCTCGCGGTCTGAGCCCCTGCTGGGTGCCCCTGAGCCCCCTGGGTGCCCTCACACTGGCCGCTGCGACTGCCAGGCCCTCTGCCCAGGAGTACCTTGCCACGCTTCCACGCCGATTCCACGCAGCCGCGCCAGCCAAGCAGGTTGGTTGCGTTCCGTCCAAGAGGCCTACGATCCAAGGGGTCAGGAAGGAGGACAAGCCTCGGGTCTGCCACAACGCCGTCCCCGATGACGAGCTCGACTCGTTGCTCCCGCGCCTCGGCCTGAAAGCGGGTGGTCATGGCCCTCACATCGAGTCGGCAAATTTCGCGTTGTGCTGGGGCTGCCGCCCCATGATGACTGTGGCCCTGGACCCAACGCATGCACAGTACAAAATGCGTGTTGCTGGCACGGCCCTCTGTGGGGCCTCTAAGGCAGATGGCTGCGGAGGTGGGGAAGCGCTGCTGCAAGCCCTCCCCTCCCGCCTGTGCTGAACTTAGCTGTCCTGATACGGCCGTCTTGAAACGCAACACGTACCGTGCTCAATACGTCCGTGTGTGACACGTTGCGCGTTGGCTCACCGTGTTGGCCCACGCTTTGGCGAACGCATCGCGCCAGACCTACGCATGCCAACGCGTTACGCTCCGCGTCAACACGTTATGGGTTGCGTGTTGCGTGCCGGGGGATTTTGATGGGCAAATTTCCACCACCACTACAATATTTAGGACGGGGGAGGATACGGAGGTCCTCCTCCTCCTCCTCCTCCTCTTCCTCCTCCTCCTCCTCCTCCTCCTCCTCCTCTTCCTCAGCCCCTCCTCCTCCTCCTCCTCCTCCTTCTCCTCCTCCTCCTCCTCCTCCTCCTTCTCCTCCTCCTCCTCCTCCTCCTCCTCCTCCTCCTCCTCCTCCTCCTCCTCGGGCCGAGACGGCTGTGGGGGGCTACAGGAAGGAGGGGGGGGGAAGGAGGGTGGCAGGGCATCGCAAGGGAGGAAGGGAGAAGAAGGAGGAGAAGGACGCGGAGGAGGAGGAACGAGGGAGGAGAGAGGAAGGAGGAGGGGGCAGGAGGGGGCAGGAGGGGGCAGGGGAGGGAGGGAGGGAGGGAGCGGCGAGGAGGTCGAGGAGAAGGCCCCGGAGAGGAGGGGAAACCATCGGGAGGACGAGGGAGGGACGAGAACGGGAGGAGGGCGGGACAGGTCACGAGTGCGGCCCTCGTCCCAGGGGGGCGGCCGGCGGGGCCGGCCGAGGCGCCTCACGGCGCCGCCGGGCACCCGAGCATGAGCTCCGGGTGGTTCTCGTGGTGCACGCAGGAGGAAGAGAGCACACAGACACAGAGAGCCGTCGATCCCCAGGGAAGCATGGGAGCACCCGGGAAGCGGAGGGGAGGACGAGTGTCCAGAGGATCTGGAAGGGTGTGGAGAAGCTCGGGAGTCGTGTGTGCACTTGAACGAGCGTCGCTACGGTACGGCGCCAGTTGGCTTAGGAATGATTTGATGCAGCGCGCACGGCGGGCACGTACAGCAACAACTGTGACGGGCCCGCGCGCGGCACGGACGCGAAGATGAATACAGCTTACGCGCCGGAGAAATATCGAGCTCGAGAATCGGGAGCCTCGAGACGGGGGTCAATGCAAACGGGGGTCAGCCAGGGCGCCAGATCCTGCAGGATCCTGCGAAGACCCCCTCGGGCTGACCCGGGTTTGGGAGCCGCTCGTGGCCGCCAGGCGGCCGCACATATTGGCTGACCCGGGTTTGCGAAGACCTGCGTTGCAGTTTTTTTTCCTGCATTGCAGTTTTCGGTTTCCCGCTGACCCGGGTCTGGATTGACCCGGGTCAGAAGATCCCCGAGAGAAGGAATTTGAGATTCATGTCCCGAGCTAGGAAGGAGTTTGAATCGTGGAGAAATTCGAATCGGAGTTACCACGGGAGTGCCCGAGCCAGACGCAGATTAAGTTGGAGAGAAATTCGCATTCGAATTTCCAGAGGTTGAAAGGATTTTGAATCGTAGAGGAATCCGGGTTGGAATTCCCAGAGGATTGCCAGGGCCAGCGAGAGGTATTGAGTTGAAGAGGAATCTGCATGTGAATTTCCAGAGTTAGAATTAATTTTTAATCGCGGCGGAATTGGAATCATGATTGTCCAGAGGATTGCCGGGGCAAGTGAGACAAATATTTAGTTGGAGGGAAAGTTGCATGTGCATTTCCAGAGTTATAAATAAGTTTGAATCGCGACGGAATTGGAATCAGATTTGCCCGAGGATTGCCAGGGCCAGGAAGAAATGGAAAGTTGGAGAGGAATTTGCCATTGAATGTTTAGACTTCGAAATGAAGCGTAGACGAATTCGAATCAGATTTGCCAGAGCGACAGATTGAGATGGAAAGGAATTGGAATATGAATTTCCAGAGTTAGCATGGATTTGAAGCGTAGAGAAAGTCTAATCAAAATTGTCAGGGGATCACTGGGGACAGGAAGGAATATGAATTTGGAGAGGAATTCACATAATATGAATTTCTAGAGTTATTGAGAATAGGAATTTGAAGCAGAATTGCCAGAGACGTGCCAGGACCAGGCAGCAATTTGGAGTTGGAAAGGAATTTGCACAGGAATCCTTAGACTTAGGAAGGGTTTTGATTATTAGAGGAATTCTAAGCAGAATTGCCACATACGTGCCAGGGCCAGGACGAAATATGGAGTTGGGGAGGAATTTGCATACGAAGCTCTAAGATTCAACCCTCTAGCAACTCAACGGCGAACTCCTCTGCGATTAAGACCCCTTCTCTAACTCTGGAAAGTGATGTCCGAACCTTCTTCAGCTCGACATTCCTGAGGCCGCCGCGCGCTAGGCACGTCATGGCTACAGCATGCGAAGCATGTTGCATACTTGTTTGTACGTCCCAGGGTCCTTCCATTCATGATGTGAAGACGCACGTCATGACTACAGCGTGCGAAACATGTTGCACTGCTGTTTGTATGCCCCCTGGGCCCTTCCAGTCATGATGCGGCGACGATGCGCGCACGTCAGGGGGGTGCTACAGGTGCCCCTGGCCAGAGGTGCCCCCAGCTCTTCCCTCCACTGCCGGAGCCCCACGGCTCCCTCCGGGCCTCGTCAGGGGTTCTCCGAAGGCCCTGGGAGCCTCCCTGAAGATCCTGGGGGCACCCCGGGCCAGGGGCACTTCTAGCAACACGCGACGTTCTTCGCAGAGCACTGCCTGCGCCGCGACGCACCTGGGCCTCGGCTTGACGAGGCGGTGCACCCCGCCGCGCGAGCGGGCTGCGCAGAGGGCGGCAGGCTGCGGCGGGCCCTCGCAGCCGAGGCCGCGCGCCTCGTCGTCGAACCCCGTGCCGATGCCTCCGACGGAGCGGGGAGCGGCGCGGCCGCGCTCGCGGACCGCCCCGGCGTCGGACTCCAAAGCTCCGCGCCGCCCGCCCCGCGGGCGGCGCCTCCCCGGGGCTCCTCGGCTGCCCTCTGCAAGCGGCTGGCCGCCACCTCCCGGCCGCTCGTCGGCGGGTCGGCGGTGAGGCACTCGTTGCGCCCCCGCGGCTCCAGGCGGAAGGGGCCCACGAGCCGCTCGCCGCGGTGGCCCGCCTGGCAGTGCGGCCACCTGGGCTAGCGGATATGAGCCCCAGTTGCGCTCAGCGCCAGCGCGCCCGCGCCGCCCGAGGCAGGGTGCCTTCGGCAGCTTGCCTGGGCGCTTGCTTACCTGGGCGCTTGGCCGTCATCACCGCGCGCAGCGGAGGGGGAGAAGGAGGGGGAGGAGGAGGAGGAGGAGGAGGAGGAGGAGGAGGAGGAGGAGGAGGAGGAGGAGGAGGAGGAGGAGGAGGAGGAGGGGGAGGAGGAGGAGGAGGAGGGAGGAGGAGGAGGAGGAGGAGGAGGAGGAGGAGGGAGGAGGAGGCGGAGGAGGAGGCAGAGGCGGAGGAGCAGGAGGAGGAGGAGGAGGAGGAGGGGCCAAGTGGAAACCGCGTGAACCATCGAAGAAAGCCATAGCAGGGGTGAGCTGGCCGAAGCTAAGGGAGTGTCTCACTTCGCTGCCCCCTGCGTGGCAAAGCCTGGTACGACAGAATATTATGGGGAGGTGGACGACAGAGCGGAGGATGACTCAGACTGATTGTGCTTGCAGTTTCGGATGCTCAGTGGCGGTGGATGCGCAACGTCACTGCATGTCGTGTCCGCTGCATGGGGCGTAATTTCGTCTGTCTGGAACCGCCAGGTCCCGATCGAAATTCTCCTGGACAGAAGGCTGGGTCTTGCGCGTTCGACGTCTGACCCTGAAAGGCCCCTGGCGGTGCAAAGGCTGATCCTGAGTTTTTTCTCTGTACAACTCGATCCGAGGGCTTCCTGGGGATGGCCAGAACACTTTACTGATGCACGCTCGTGCTGCCCGTTCTCAGCTGCTCCAGCAAGCTAAGCCAGAAGCGTAAGGATCAACAAGCCCATTCCGAGCTACCTGGTACTTGCGAGGAGTGGGAGTAGGCGTAGAAGAAGGATGAGGAGGTGGAGGAGGAGGAGGAGGAGGAGCAGCAGCAGCAGGGCGAAGGAGGAGGAGAAGGAGGAGAAGGAGGAGCACGAAAGAACAGTCCGCAAACGTGGCAGCGGCAGCAGCACCAGGCAAGAGCAGTGCGGATGCGGCGGGGCCCCGCCCCAGTGTGCCGGGTGCGGCGCTCGCCGACGGCGTCGGGCGCCGCCGCGGCGTGTGCTTGGGCGGGGCGGGGCGGGAAAGCGGGCCCAAGCGGCCAGGTCGAGCAGGCGTGTTGCTGAAGCGTGCGTCCTGCATGAATCGCGAAGAAGTCTCGAGCGATAGCGCGATGGGGGCCAGGGGCCCCGTTTGGTGACACCTCGCTTCCCCTTGTAATAAATAGGGTGCGAGCCCCGGGAGAAGCACTTGAATTGAAAAATACGATGGTTACCAGAGGAGGGACCAACAATAATTATTCTTCAGAAATGAGAGCCCAACAACCACAACAACAACAACAACAACAACAACAACAACAACAACAACAACGGCAGCAACAACAACAATGACAACCACGACAACCACGACAACGGCAACGACAACGACAGCGAACACAGCAACCTCAACATCAACACCTACAGCATTAGTAACAGCAGCAACATAAACAACAACAGCAGCAGCAACTACAACAAACAAAATGCCTCCTCCTCCTCCTCTTTCCTCTCCTCGTCCTCACTCCTCCTCTTCCTCCTCCTCTTCCTCCCCCTCCTGCTCCTCCTTCTCCTCCTCCTCCTCCCTGCTTCCTCACTCTCTCCCCATCCCTCCATCTTCTCCTCTCTCCTCCTCTCCCTCACCGGAGAGGCGGTGGAGGAAGGGGAGAAGGAGGAGGAGTAGGAGTAGGAGGGGAAGGAGGAGGAGGAGGAGGAGGAGAGGGAGGACGACGACGACGAGAAGTAGGAGGGGGAAGATGGCGAAGGAGTCCCGGCCAGGCCCTCAAGATCCACCCTCTCGTGTGCGCCCCCTTTAACGCCGACTTCGACGGCGACACCATGACCATGCACCTGGCTCTCAGCGATCAGGCGCCCCCCGAGACCTCACTGCGCGCCCGATCGTCTCGGGTAGTGGTGGTGGTCGTCGTCGTCATGCTCCTCATCATCTCCCTACTCTCCTCCCCGTTTTGGGGCCATCTTGGAGGCCTCTTGGGCGATCTTGGGGCGATCGTTGGGGGCTCTTGGGCCGTCTCGGGCCGTCGGAAGGCCGAAAAGAAACACATGCACAATTCCTTCAAAAACCTACGGACAATCAATAATGTTGGCCTCTTCTGGCCTTCCTGGAAACCCTCTTGGAGGCCTCTTGGGCCATTTTGGCGACCTGTTGGGGGCCTCTTGGGCCGTCTTGGGCCATCTTAGAGCCATCTTTGGCCGTCTTGATGGCCTTCTGGCCCGTCTGACGCCGTCGGAAACCGTTTGGAGGGCGCCCCCCGGACGACTTAGGACCCGCTTGGGGTGCTCCAGGGCCGTCTTGGAAGACATCTTGGGCGTCTCGGACGCGTCATGGAGCCCTATTGGAGCCTTCTTGGAGGCCTCTTGGGCCGTTCAGTGGCCATCTTGGAGACCTCTTGGGCAATCTTGGGGCGATCGTTGGGGGCTCTTGGGCCGTCTCGGGCCGTCGGAAGGCCGAAAAGGAGTAAATGCCAAGATCCTTCGAAATCCGACGGAAAATTAATGATCATGGCCTCGTCGGGCCTTTCATGGAGGCCCTATTGGGGGCCTTTTGAGCTGTCTTAGAGGCCTATTGGAGGCCTCATGGGTCGCCTGCCGTCATCGCGAGGCCATCTTGAGCCGTCTGGGAGGCATCTTCGGCGGACTTGCAGGCATCTTGGACCTTCTTAGGCTATATTGGAGGCCGTGTTGGACCATCTTGGGCGAACTTGGAGGCCATCTTGAGCCATCTGAGCCATCTTTTAGGCTGTCTTGGCGGTGAATTGTGCGCCTTTCCGCGTGGCCAGCGCGCCGGGCTGGGGCTGGAGCTTCAGGGGAGTTCTTTCAAAAAGAGCCCAAACCAAACCAGTAGGATCTAGCACGCCAGGCACTCCTGTGGGAAGACCACAGGGGCGGCGGATCTGATGGCTTTCGGCCCTTCCCGCCACCGTGCCTGGGCTGTAGGTCCGAGGTGTTTTGGAGGTTCGTTGGGATCTCGCTGGAAGCTTCTCAGGGGCCTCTTGGAGGCAGTTGTGAAGCTGTTTGGGGGCCTCTTGGGGGCCTCTTGGGGGCCTCTTGGGGCCTCTTGGTGGCCTTTGGGGAACCCCTCGGGGCCTCTTGAAAGCCTCTTTGGGTATCCTAGGGGCATCTTGGGGCGGAAGGCTCGAATCGTCGGTTCATGTTCCTCCTCTTGGGGCCGACTTGGGGCCCTCATGGGCCGTCTTGGCGCCTCTTGAGCCGTTTCCAGGCCCTCTTGGGCTTTCTTGGAATCATCTTGGGGGCATATTGATTTGTCTTGGGGCAGCATTTGGGGCTTATTGGGCCGTCTTAAAGCGTCGGGAGCTCAAAAAGGCGAGAACTGTGAGAAAACATAAAAACCGAATATTAGGATGAGTAGTAGTAGTAGTAGTAGTAGTAGTAGCAGCAGTAGCAGCAGTAGCAGTAGTAGGAGTAGTAGTAGTAGTAGTAGTAGTAGTAGTAGTAGTAGTAGTAGTAGTAGTAGTAGTAGTAGTAGTAGTAGTAGTAGTAGTAGTAGGGTTGACCTCCGTCTGTTTGCCCAAAGGCGCGCCTGGCGCCGCTGGCGCGCCTGGCGCACCTGGCGCACCTGGCGCACCTGGCACACCTGGCGCACCTGGCGCACCTGGCGCACCTGGCTCACCTGGCGCACCTGGCGCGCCTGGCGCACCTGGCGCGCCTGGCGCGCCTGGCGCACCTGGCGCACCTGGCACACCTGGCGCACCTGGCGCACCTGGTGCACCTGGCGCGCCTGGCGCACCTGGCGCACCTGGCGCGCCTGACGCGCCTGGCGCGCCTGGCGCATACGAAACATATACGAAACACATGCGGAACATACACGAAACGTCTACGAAACGCATACGAACCGTACCCGAAACATATACGAAACGTGAACGAAACGTTCACGAAATGTTTACCAAACGTATGCGAAACATATACGACACGTATACGAAACATACACGACACGGATACGAAACATACACGATACATATACGAACCGTACCCGGAGCATATACGAAACGTATACGAAACGTATACGGAACGTGTACGAAACGTATACGAAACATGTACACAACATATACGAAACAAATGCGACACCTATGCGAAACATATACGCAACATATACGAAACGTACGAAACATATACGAAACACATACGGAGCACATGCGAAACATATACGAAACATGTGCGAAACATGTGCGGCACATATACGAAATATTTACGAACCGTATACGGAACATGCACGAAACGTATACGAAACGCATACGAAACATTTCCGAAACACATACGAAACGTATATGAAACAAATACGAAACATGAACGAAACATACACGAACCATATACGAAACAGCTACGAAACAGATACGAAACAGATACGAAACGTATACGAAACATATTCGAAACATTTACGAGACATATACGAGACAATTTACGAAACGTATACGAAATAGATACGAAACATATACAAACCATACACGAAACATGCACGAAACATGCACGATACGTATACGAAACGTATACGAAACATGCACGAAACATTTACGAAACATATCCGAACGATATACGAAACATGTACGAACCATTTACGAAACGTATACGAAACACACACGAAACATATACGAAACATATACGAGCCATATTCGACACATATACAAACCATTTACGAAACATATACGAAGCGTCAACGAAACAGATAGGAAACAAAAACGAACTAATTACGAAACATATACGAAACATGTACGAAACATGTGCCAACCGTATACGAAACGTAGACGAAACATATACGAAACAGATACGAAACATAAAGAAACACATGCGAAACATACACGAACCATATACGAAACAGATACGAAACAGATGCGACACATGTACGGAATGTATACGAAACATATACGAAACGTACACGAAACAATCACGAAACATATACGAAACGTTTACGAAACATAAACGAAGCATACACGAAACATATACGAAGCATTTACGAAACAGATACGAATCAAATACGAAACATATACGAAACATATACGAACCATAAACGAAACATATGCGAAACATACACGGAACTGACAAGAAACATATACGACACATATACGAAATGTTTACGAAACGTATACGAAACATACACGAAACAGATACGAAACGTATACGAAACATATACGAAAATATATACGAAACATATACGAAGCATATACAAAACATATTCGAAACATAGTCGGAACATATACGAAACATATTCGAAATTACTCCGGTGGTAGGACCCCACATGAAAACTTGTTTAGCTTACCCTTTGCCCTTTCCTCCTCCCCCTGGCGGACATCCTCTCCTCTCGCCCTCTGCCCCGCCGTCATCATCGTCCTCATCCTCATCATCCTCATCGTCCTCATCCTCGTCGTCGTCCTCATCCTCGTCGTCCTCATCCTCGTCGTCCTCATCCTGGTCATCCCAGCCGTGGCGACGAGGAGGGTCCTGGGGGCCGAAAAGCCTCGGACCTCGACTCTCGAGCTTCAGAGTTCGAACCTCGACTTGAACCCCTTCCTCAGACCTCGGTCTTCAAAATCGGTCCTCAGACTTCCACTGGGGTCTATCGGGTGCAGTGGTTCGTCCTGGGTCAATTTTCGACGACCCCGAAGCCATTCGTCGTCGTCGTCGTCGTCGTCGTCCTCGACGTCGTCGTCGTCGTCGTCGTCGTCAGCGTCAGCGTCGTCGTCGTCGTCGTCGGTCCTCGTCGTCGAGAGGGATAGAGGGAAGGAGGACGATGACGACGGCGGCGGCGACGGCGACGACGACGCCGACGACCAGATTCTGCCGCAGACGCGCCGCTTTTCCGGGCCCTGGGGCCGTGCCTCCGTGCCTTTTTCGGGCCCCGGGGGTGACAGAAACCGATTGAAACCAGAACGGGCCAAAAAAACATTGCGTTAGTGGCCCCTTACCCACTAACACGCAGGGCGTTTTTTGTGGGCGGCTGACGATGGGTTACCACCGCCAGCCCGGACGCAAGGGTTTCCCCCTGCGCCCAATTCGGCTGACGATGGGTTACCACCGCCAGCCCGGAACCAAGGGGTTACCCCTGCCCCCGATTCGGCCGAGGATGGGTTACCACCCCCGGCCCGGACGCAAGGGTTCCCCCCTGCGCCCGATTCGGCTGACGATGAGTTACCACCGCCAGCCCGGAGACAAGGGGTTACCCCTGCCCCCGATTCGGCCGAGGATGGGTTACCACCCCCGGCCCGGACGCAAGGGTTCCCCCCTGCGCCCGATTCGGCTGACGATGGGTTACCACCGCCAGCCCGGAGACAAGGGGTTACCCCTGCCACCGACTCGGCCGAGGATGGGTTACCACCCCCGGCCCGGACGCAAGGGTTTCCCCCTTCGCCCGATTCGGCTGACGATGGGTTACCACCGCCAGCCCGGAGACAAGGGGTTACCCCTGCCCCCGATTCGGCCGAGGATGGGTCACCACCCCCGACCCAGACGCAAGGGTTTCCCCCTGCGCCCGGCCGCCGCTTCGGCCGAGGATGGGTCACCGGCCCCGGCCCGGACGCAAGGGTTTCCCCCTGCGCCCGGCCGCCGTCGTCCTCCTCAATTCTTGTTCTACGTCCTCCTCCTCCTCCTCCTCCTCCTCCTCCTCCTGCGCCTCAGCTCCAGCTCGCATGCTTCGAGCTGGTTCAGCGCGGGGACTCCCGCGGGGACAGACCGGCGGGCTCCCGCCTGCGACTTCCTCGCGAGTCACTCACAGACGAGGCTCCCGCCTGATACATCCTCCTTATTCAAGCCCTCTGGAGGCCAAAAATGACGACAGTTAGACGTTTCGGATGACCCGCCTCGGATTGAAAACATGAGGTGCGGGCCCCATAGGGACAGGC